GACTTACAGCGTTCGAAAGCGTGAATCTTTACCTTTAATTTGCGCACTCGATCAGTATTGTGCGATTTTTTTTACCGAGTTACTCAACATTGAAGTAAAAATGACCATTTTTGCTTTCGTATTCAATAACTCAGTAAAAAAAAATTGCACAATGCTGATCGAGTACGCAAATTAAAGGTAAATATTTACGCTTTTGAACGCTGTAAGTCGCATTTGTATGCGATTTTTATTTCACTCCATGGAACTTCACAAATTTAGTAAAAAATTTTTAAATTTGATGCATCTCCATTTGCATCCGTGCAGCTTTATAAAGAATCAGTAAGTCATTTAATGAATTATGGACTACGAAAGTAGAGACTTTAAGCTGTGAAATGCTTTTTGATCATTATGTTATGATCATTTTTGAAGTTACGCTCTCTTGAAATTTGCCTATTTTTAGCGATCAGAATAGGTGATCCTTTAATTTTGGCGCGGAGTGTCTTTATTTATAATTTATTGTTAATGCAAAATAATTATATATTTGTTATTCGTGTATACATATGTTTCAAAGACAAAAAGATATCAAATATAAATAAAATATTCCAAATACAAATCAATTATAAAATGCATAAAAACATGGAAAAATTGCAAAGGCAGGTGTCTCATATAGACACTATATGCAAAGGGATAAAATGCAATCAGTTTTATATTGCAAAAAGACAGGTGTTTCATATATAGGATATTATGCAAAGGTTTAAATACAATCTTATTATTATTATTATAAAATATTAATAAAATTGAAAATAATAATTTATTACCTTGTTTTCTTTCAATCCATGACTACTAATTTGTAATTTATTGTTGATAAGACTAGGATTATAATACTGCTGCACAATTTCCTTTGGTATTCCATGTATCATTTGTTTGTGCCTTGCTAGCGAAGACATTTGCGTGAAATTCTTATCACAAATTGAACACGAATACGGTTTAATTCCTGCACATAAATAAAAAAAATATTTATAAAACTTTCAAAGGTTATCAAGTTTACATGTATCTCATAAATGACTTGTATCTTATTTTTCACTTTATTTTATATTTAAGTATGGGCAGAATCAACTGCCTATGTTGCTAATTGACCTAATTGATCAATATAAAATATAAAATTTAATATAGAATCTGTTGATTGATCCAGGGAAAATCTTTAAGTATCTTTGGTCACTGAGTGGTACGATCAATCATATTGTGGGCTAATGGGACGCTCCCTTTAACCTTAAACTATCACACCATATTTGCCACTCAAATCTACCACACTGGGTAAAATTTATCCAGCTTACCTATTTTGTTGCGTAACTTTGGTTCAAACGCATCAATTTAAAACTTTTTTTTTTAATCTATACGCCAGACAATAAGGTGACTGAATGGATAGTAACACTCAAAGATCTTCATGAACAATTTGCAAAAATGTAAATCAGTTTTTATATCTTTCGAAAAAGGCTGATTTTTCTTTACATTGCAGTTCTTTTCAGAGGCGAATAAAAAAAAGTGAAGCATAGTTTCTAAAAAAACATGAGTGGTATTTTTAAAAGAAAAATACTTCATATGGCTTCACTTTAAAAAACATTTATTTGACCGAGTGAACTAGACTGATTGTCGAACTTTACGCATGGAATGGCAATACCAAGTGGAATGACATGGCTTATGATGGAAGGTTGTAGAGGACATTTGTAAGTTTTTTTCCCCCCACATTGCGACCCCACTTCTTCAATCCTGTTGGAATGGCACGCATTTAAAAAATGGTCTGGGTGAATTTTACCAAGGTGTGATAGTCTAGGGTTAAATATATGTATTTATTATATTGAATACTTGATATCTCACCCGTATGCATTCTACAGTGTCTTATAAGATTCGATATATGACTGAACTTCCTCCCACAGACTTCGCAAATATAAAAATTTGTTCCCAAATGAATGTTCAAGTGAGTGCGCAAATCTGCTTTGCGAAAGAAACCCTTTCCACATATATGGCATATTTGGGATCTTTCTCGTAGATGTAAACTCCGATGGTGATAATCTAATTGTGAAGCACGATCAAAGGTTGAGTCACATTGGAGGCATTTAAACATTTTCAGCATGTTGCACAATAGGCGCACCTCTGCAATTATGCCAATTGCGAATGAAATTCCACGTTACTTTCCTGTCTAATAACCAGGCGTTTTCTAGAAACATATAAAAGTATCGCAGTCAGATGTTTATCTGGGGCTGTGTTTGCTTTGACACAGTGCTCACAGCATCTCTTCATCCTTGTTGTTTAGCAAGTGCTAAACAAGGACAAATGATGCTTATAAGCGCTATAAGCCTCAAACCAAACAGCTGGAATCTATTGCTTATATATTTGAATTAATTTGTTGACTAACGTGTATTTTTCTGGTATAAAACGGTTGAATTATTCTCTACATAAGAAATTTCATTTTATCAAAATTATTTTATGGCGAATTTTATTGAACGCACTAGTGCATTCAATAATCATTGGTGCATATTACTGTACATTATACATTGATTTAATTCGAGTGTAAAAATGAAATAGATCGAATAATAAAATACCTAATATATATTTTACTGAACAGCACAATAAAAGTTATTCCAAAATTTACTATCAGCACTGAAACTCTATAGTTTACGTTATGTGCATAATAGATTTTAAGCACTGACAGTGAATTTTGTAACAGTCGAAGTATATTAAAGATTTTTAATCCGTTTATATATTTATGTTAACACACATTTTTACATCAATTTGCATCGATTACAATGGTTTTAATGTGCACCAATGTGCATTAATTAGTGTATCCAATTGATTCGCTTTAATGAGTACTCAAACAGTTTCATGCATGTAATAATACTAATATTATTATGATAACACTTTGCATGATGCTCCATTTCTAACCTTAAAAGCAATGCAATCGAAACATTTTCAGGACATTTTTTATATTCATTCGCGACAAGTGTTACAACACTCAAAATGTCACATATGTAGTTACGAATTATTCCATTTTATTTATGCTCTGACAATTCACATAAAAAAAATCAAATATAGGCTTCACCCGTTTTAAGAACACAATAAAGATAATGATAATCAATTTGTAATTTTTAGGCTGACTGCACACTTTAGGGTGCAATTTCACGCAGCGTCAAGACGCTAGCGATTATCCCCACTCCGGCCGCCTCAACCGGTCAACGCGCATCCGATCTGCGCATGACATTGGCTGTCATTTTTCGTTGACGAAACGCTAGCAAGCAAAGAGATTACAGTTCAGCACACTCTATATCGATTTAGTACACAATATTGTCATTAGAGCGTGTAAACGATAATTCTTCAATTCTCGTTAACGTTTTATTTATATTCAATTTATATTTATATAACGACAACAAAAATATTTAGCAGACATCGCGTTGTGGTAAATGAAACTGTAACCTAACCTAACCTAACCTATCTCCTATCTCAAACCTAACCTATCTCAAACTCGGAAGCTCACGACAGGTATAAATAATAGTATTATACTTAACGGGATGTTTATTTTACATTCTTTCATAATTCTATGATA